ATATATATATATATATATATATATATATATATATATATATATATATATATATATATATATATATATATATATATATATATATATATATATATATATATAAATGAGCAGTATCACATGAGTAGCAGTGCGATATGGCTGTGTATCAACACTGGTTTATTGGCTCGAGGCTGCAGGCCGAGTGCCTAAGTGTCCCATCAGTGCTGATATACAGCCACATTGCACTGCTACTCATGTGATATTCCATTCATACAAAAATTCAGCACAATCGTGCATATAAAAAAGAAAATATAAAGCGGAGAGTCTAGAAACCCTAAGAGGAACTACTTTCTCTAGCCATTCATTCACATCTGCAGCTGACAGAACAGCCGAAGCCGTTGCTCCTTCACCAACGTCTCTTTAGAGCTAGTGTTTGAATGATTCTCTAGCGTAATGTCTAAAGTGATGACAAAACAGCTGATTTTGCTCGCATTTTAAGATTATAAGGCTGAACAGCATGAAATGCCATCAGTCTACAGAGATTTCCCAGTATTTCTCTGTTGCAATCAGGAGATCTCAATAATGAGCCTTTTCACATTTCCAGGTTTCTCAGTAGTGGAAGTCGTCATAGTTGGGAAAACTTAAAGCGCACTGAATGGGAGAATAGAGAATATATTTTTTTACAATCTTACTTGCTCAAATATTAGAAAGAAAAAACTCCACGATGATGTTATCAACACATATAATAAAAAAAGGAAAACAAAATGGTGTGAGACTGATGACGAGAGCCAGAGAAGAGATTAACGTCAAATTTACTGTCCTGCACCCACAGACTGTGCATTAGAAATGCCTCGCATAAGCGGTAGTTTTTTATAAGTTGAAGCAAAGATGATATAATACATACATAAATACATATAAATGTTCATACATTAAAAAAATCAGAATATTAAAAACTTTCAAGGATTTAAGAATATGATGATGTTACACGCATCATAACACTCTTGTGAAAAGGGTCTATTAACCCCGAAAAGCCCAAGCAAAGCATAAAACTAGCAGATTACTGTGGTGTAAATACAGCACTACAACATATAAAAAAAGAGAGATCAGCTTAGTGTCACTTACCTGTGTTAAAATAATTTGATCAGCTGTAGTTAGAAATTATTGGAGATTTTCTCCACTAAGTGCTTATTATGTGGTCTCTGTCGCCATCTTGTGGTGGAACAGCAACTGTCTTTGCTTTGCTCAGTATGGCAGGCTGATGGCCACCTATGCGCTGTATTTCCAAAATGATAAATATTTAAAATAGGCACTTTATTTATAAATAAACTGCATAGTTGCAATCTAAACAACTACATTCTCACCTAAAAAAGCCTCAAAAGTGCATTATGTTGTCCAACAGCTGTGATATTTATCAAACTCTAGTGAGTATATAGATCTGCTGAAGAGGCTGTACGAGTGCTGTTGTTGCAGAATCGTTGCTATCAGCAAATCATATTTGAGAACCAGACAAAACCATTGTATGTATACATAATTACCTTTTGCACATGATAGCTTTTTAGCATAATATTTTTGTCATATTATTTTTATTTTTATTTATTTATTCATTGATTTATTTATTGTTTAGTGTTTTTAAATATGCACTTTAATGTTTGCACAGTCCTAAATTTAATAAAAAAGATGGGAGTGTGATAAAAAAAGCCCTTATTGATATAAATCAAGACTACATGGATTCAAATATGAACTTTGGGCTTAAATGAGAAATTTGAAAATATAAATGCCAAAATGTGATTTGTTAATATTTTAAATTCAATTGTTTTAGAGTGAATTATGAGCTGAACATGTCTTCATGGTTACTCTTATTTCCCCTCAGTAGTTATGTATGATCTATAAGTATATATCCTTTGTGTGTGTGTGTGTGTGTGTGTGTGTGTGTGTGTGTGTGTGTGTGTGTGTGTGTGTGCTTGTTTACCTCAGTAAGCGCTGCTGAAAGGTAATGCCGTGTTTTCCGTGTGATGAGCTTGATCTGATCTCCGACAGAAGGTCGTCCTCTATTAGCTGAATCTGCTTTCTGAATTCATGCATTTGCTGTGGAAATAAACGCCGACAGCAGACAGTAAATGAGCTGTTTTTATTCAGCGCTGATGTCCGTCACAGGAGTCAATATGACCCAGCAAACCCTGACCGCTAAATTACATTTCAATATTTACACTGTTGAACAGTCCCGGGTGACAAATCTCATCCTCCAGAGCTGTAAATGCAGACTTTCAGCCCTCAGTCGATGCGTTGTGGAGGATTAATGCTGAAACCGCTCACTTTACACACATTAAAAAAGCCACCTGTTTTTATTAAAGGTTTGTTTTTCTACAGGTAGCTGGTATTATTATTTAAATATATGTTTTTGTGATTATATAAAGGATATTATGTGCATATTTTAGCAAAGTAAATAATAAAAAAATTCTATAAAATAATAAATTCTTGAAATAATGTGGAAAAATATGTAGAGGTAATCATAAAAACATAAATATTGGTGCATAATGTGAATGAATGAAATAATAATTGCATACATTCATTGTATTTTATTTTTTTTATAAATATTTTGTGCTTTCAGCGCAAAATTTTATTTATTTATTTACTTATTTGTCTATTGTTGTTATATTGCATTTTACCATAATTCGATAGATATTTAGCTTTAATTTACATTTAATTTTAAAATTTAAAATGCTTTTCCCCTTTATTTTCTTAAGTTTCTTATATACTTTATTGCATAAAATGTTGTGCTGTAAGCAAATCTTCATTACCATTATGTAAAATGTATTCTTCATTTCTTTATTTATATATATCTTCATCGTCTTTGGTTTGTTTGAGTAACTGGTGTGTGAGTCAGTGAGTGCTGTGGGGGTTTTTCTGTGTATCCAGTCCGAGAAAACACAACAACAGCCTTCAGACAATAATGCTCTTATGCTAATAATCAGACCTGCTGTCTTCAGTCCTAGAGTAAGAAAAGAAATGCCTCATCATACTGATATACAGAATAAAGCAGCAAGAGTCGATCAGTAACGTACAATGCCGAGATACAGCTGGACATACTGAATAAAAGACAGTTTAGCTGCTTTCATATCATTTATATGTACAAACAAATATGCTTTGGTTTAACATGAGTATAAGATTATCGTAGATTATGTATTTATAAAACAAAGATAAAACTATATATCTAGATTCTGACATACTTTATGAGTTAAAACTGAAATATTAGAGAGTATGAAAAATCACTAACTTGACTAAAAGTCAAAACTTGTGCAAAAAACCTCCAAATTCTGAGATAAATACTCTAAAATATGCCAAAAACTCTCAATTCTGAGATAAAAAGCTAAAACTATGAGAAAATAATTAGATGAAAATTCTAAACTATGTAAATAATTAAATGTATGGAATACAGTAATCGTTAATTATGAGATGAGTCGAAATTAGTTAATAGTGCAAATGTGCGGTTTAAAAGTTTTCTAATGAAATACCAAGTGTTAATTATGAGATGAAAGGGAAAATTATATACAAAGTTTTAAAATGTCATTTTCTTAAATAAAAAACAAGTTTTAATTGTTGAAATCCTCACATAAGTCACAATTATGTCAATAAAAAGTGAATTATGAAATAGCTGGCATTATGAATTAAGCTGGCTGCTAGCTCTTTGCAACTATCCCATGGTTGTCCACTGAAGCTAAGCAGGTCAGTACCTGGATGGGAGACCACATGGGAAAGCTAGGTTACGATTGGACATGGTGTTAGTGAGGCCAGCAGGGGGCGCTCAACCTACAGTCTGTGTGAGTCAAAGCATCCCAGTATAGTGATGGGGACTCTATACTGCTCAGTGAGCGCCGTCTTTCAGGTGAGACGTTAAACCGAGCTCCTGGCTCCCTTTGGTTATTAATAATCTCAGGATTTCCTTCAATAAAAAGTAGGGGTTTAACCCCGGCATCATGGCCAAATCTGCCCACAGGTCTCTGTCCATCATGGCCTCTAAACAATCCCCATATCATAATGGGCTTCATCACTCTGTCTCCTCTCCACCAATCAGCTGGTGTGCGGTGCTGCAATATGGCTGCAGTCACGTCATCCAGGTTGATGCTGCACAGTGGTGCTGGATGAAGAGATTCAAATACGGCATTTTATTTAATATAAAAATCTAACACCAAGCCTTAATTATGAAAACATCAAGCCCCTGTTTTAAGAAGAAAAGCCACAATTATGGCATAATAATGAATAAATGTCAAAATAAAGACATCGTGCGGTAACTATTAAAAATGATGAAACAGATCATTCTGTGACATAAAAATGGGATTTTTTTAGGTTATGTTTCATAAACCTCTGATGTTTTATCTAAAAATAGCTCGAGAAATAATTTATTATTACCATATGGTATTATTATTATTATTATTATATTACTATTAATAACATTAACATTTGCGTTAAATAATTATTTGATAAAATTATACATGGGTGACACGGTGGCTCAGTGGTTAGCACTGTGGGCTCACAGCAAGAAGGTCGCTGATTCAAGTCCTGGCTGGGTCTGTGTAGAGTTTGCATGTTCTCCCCGTGTTGGCGTGGGTTTCCTCCGGGTGCTCCGGTTTCCCCCACAGTCCAAACACATGCGCTATAGGGGAACTGATCAGCTGAACTGGCCATAGTGTATGAGTGTGTGTGTGAATGAGTGTGTATAGGTGTTTTTCCAGTACTGGGTTGCAGCTGGAAGGGCATCCACTGTGTAAAACATATGCTGAAATAGTTGACGGTTCATTCCGCTGTGGCGACCCCTCATGAACAAGGGACTGAGCCTAAAAATTATACACTTTATAATATAATAAATAATAATAATAGTTTGCCAAATATTTTGATGAAATAAATTTTCTTGAGCAGACGTTTATTATAATATATATATTTTTTTATATATATATATATATATATATATATATATATATATATATATATATATATATATATATATATATATATATATATATATATATATATATATATATATATTCATGAAATAAATAATCATAATTTCAGCCTGTTTTGAACATGAATATGTCGCTCCATTTCTCAGTGAATATAGTCAGTGTACTTTGGTGCATTTAAACAAAACAGATTTATTAAACAGATATATTTATGAAAATAATATTTCAGTTACCAAAAAATTTAGAAACTGAAAGAAAATGCATTTAAATTCAAGCAAAAATGGCAAAAATTACAACCTACATAATTAAAAAAAAAAATTCTTTATTTTTTTTTATTTTTTTAATTTGTATTTAATATTTTTCTCTAATATATAAATTAGGCTGTACCAGTGTTTGGACTATTGTCTTAAGTTATTTTGTTAGATCAGCTCTAGATTTGTTCTCAGTACTGACTAATCTAATGTATATGCACAAATATAATATTGTAGAGCTTCCTATAAAACATATCAATTTTAAAGATAGATGTGTGAGGGGTGTACGCATATATGCTGAGCACTGGATTTTGTAGAGTCGAGATTCACAAGTCTTCATTTACTAATAATAAAAACAATGCTTGATTAACTGTTTACTAATACTAACCTAAAGCACATGATCACGTATGTTTTGTTTGCTTTCTTGTCACTAATGTTTGGTCAGTGTTTCTGTCTGTCCTCATATCTCATTGTTAATATCGTAATATCCGTGACTCCTCTGCTTTTCTGGATGTGCTGTTTCAGGTGCTGCAACCCGTAAACCGGACGCGGTGGAGCCAGAAAAGCAGACGGATCATACGGTGAAAATTGCCGGTGTTATCGCTGGGATTTTACTCTTCGTCATCATTTTCCTCGGCGTGGTGCTGGTGATGAAGAAACGGTAGGAGATCTTCCTTCTTTCTACAGTATTCACTCTGATTCATCTGATGATCTTCAGTGTGTTTCTGCTGTCTTCATTTTTACACCTCTGCACTCACACTGACCTGTCAATCAAACAGAGAGCCCCGCCCCCACACTCACCTCATTGGTCACTCTGAAATTGGCACTTTAGGGAAAAGTCATGTTGAATCATAGTGCTGAGTTTAAAAAGGTGCACTTATGAGGTTTAAAAAAATCCAAATATGAATTATACTCTGCAAATTTTCAAGTTTAAATGAAGATTAATAATCATAATCACCAGAACGTTTTAATGACATTTTTAACTAAAATTATGACAAAATAAATGATTTTTATTTTTTGAGATATGTCAGAATTATTAAATAAATGTGAGATTAAAGAGTAAAACAATATATTAAAACTTTAAGTACTTTTATTAGTCCATATTATGTTAATAGAGGATGAGAAAATATAATTATGATTAATTAAACAAGGACTAATTTAGGTACAAGTTGTGATATACCCCAACTATGAGATAAAGAGACATTGCAAATGTTAAAATTTGAAATTACGACTGGAAATTGACATGAGTATTTAAAAAAAAATGTTTAGAAGTCAAGATTATGACAGTGAGGAGTCATTTATTTTAAAAAGCTGAAATTGACAGTCATCGTTTTGAGATGATATAAAGAGTTGAATATGGGATAATAAAAACAATTGGGAATTCTCACAGTAAATTATAATAATTGAGATCAAATACTGAAAATTAATAATTATGAGATATAATGTTAAAATTATGGGATAACAGGTCAATTAAAAGAAATTAATTGACACCCAACATCAGCGAGTCACATTAAAATTAGCATTCTATTAGATAATTGTGACAAAATGCTAAATTGTGAGAACTTAATAGCATTTTCTCATAATAAAAATTCTCATAATATATGCAAATATATATAAAGTTCAATTTTTTTACATTTTCATGCTAAATGATAAGGATAAAAACAAGAAATGCAGAAAGTTACATTTATGAGAAATTCATTGTTACTGCAGCACACTATAAATAATATGACAAAAAATGTCAAGACAGCAGATATTTTTAGGTTGCTCTAAAGTATTTTTTGTTTTGATGTTTTAAATTATTGTATCAATAAATTATTGTGATAAAGGAATCAGTTTTCAGCTATTTTTACTTAAGTATGCAAGGTTTAACTTAATATTTCTAGTTGACATGACTAAAAAGTTTATTTTACTCAAGAAATAAAATTCTTTACAGTGAAACTAAATGGTTAAAATTTGAGATAAATGATAAGTTAAAATAATGACAAAAATGATAAGTTAAAATAATGAGATAAATGATAAGTTAAAATTATGAGATAAATGATAAGTTAAAATTATGAGATACATGATGAGGTAAAATTATGAGATAAATGATGAGGTAAAATTATGAGATAAATGATAGGTTAAAATTATGAGATAAATGATAGGTTAAAATTATGAGATATATTCATTGGTGTCAATATAGCACACTAGAAAAATAATTAAAAAAATGCTAAAGTATTAACATTATAAGTTTAATTATAAGATAAATATTGTTAAAAGCATAAGATACACATATTAGTTTTACTGCAGTACACTATAAAAATTATATGACAAAGTGAAATATTTTTGTTACTTTAACTTATTTTTTATACATTGTTATCCAATTTAACCTAATATTTCTAGTCAGTTTGATTGATCATTTTATTTGACTAAAATATATATTTTTCCACGGCAACTAAATGGTAATTAAGATTATAAATGATTTTTCTCATGAGGTAAATATTCCAAAAGTCAAGACTAAATGGTAATTGAGATGAAAAAAAATAAATGCAAAAAGTTAAAATTATGAGAAATTTATTAGTGTCACTGCAGCAAGCTATAAAAAATTTGCGATAAAAAGTCAAATATTATGTTGCTTATGTTGCTTTTAACTTATTTTTATTTGAATCAGGCTTCAGCATTTTTATAATACAAAGTTTCACTTAATATTTCTAGTCAGTTTGACTGATGCAAGTTGACATGACTAGAGATTTCATGTCAAATTTCCTTGGAAAAAAAAAATTATATATATATATATAAATATATATATTTATCTATATTTCATTAATATAAAAAAGGATTCATTGGATTTGTTCAATAGTTTTAAGGTAAGCAGTTGCAAACAATTTCTTTGATCTGAAATTAAACAAATTAAGTTGAACATTAATAAATCTAATTTGTGTAAATCCAGCCCATCTAAATGGTTTTCAACCACTTACCTTAAAAATGTGATGATCATTAAATAAGTAATGAACATAATAAGCAATATATTGATCATAATAATGCAATGCCATGAATCCTTTTTTTAGAGCGGTGCATCAGTCAGAGTGTCAGTGATTGACTTACAGCGACTCTCGACATTAAAACCCGACAAAGTGTTCAGGATCTAAAAAACAAACGGCATCTTGAGCTTCAGAGATCTCCGGTGTCAGAAAACATCCAGCGAACACATGAAAGTCAAAGCAATCTCAGCTGACGCTCCTCAAACGGATGCTTTTGTCAGCCCGACGCAGAATAATTGATTTGATCGCTCTGATAAGCACCATTACACGCTTTGTGGCACCAAATACATGCCGCCTGATGAAATATTAATATTTTCCTCTCAAACAAACGCCGTTACTTTAATGACCCGGCGACGGGAAACCGCACAAATATTTTTCCAAGTGCAGAAAAAGAAGAGAAAAGGCGAGATAAGAGAGAAAATTTGATGAAAGGCCATTTTTTTATTTTATTTTATTTTCAAAGAGACGCCCAAGGCTTGTTGCTCCAGGCGAGTTTACATTAGATCTGGAGTAAAAAGAAAAAAATCATGCAAATAAAATCCTGTGGCTCAGACTGCGAGGTGTTTTCTCTGCTTTCAGATGTCAAGTGCAGGCAGGGCTAGTAAATATGGTTTTAATGAGAGTCATTACACGCTCAGAATATAAAGGGTATTTGTCTTTATTGATTTCACTGTTGAGCTTCAGAATGGCGAAACGTTTGAAGAGGGATGTCTTTATTGATTAATTAATTTATTTATTTCGCTGAGCATGCAGATTGTTTGAATGCATCGGACGGGTTTAATAACCTCAGAATTGCATGTTAAATCTCAGTGTTATTTGATTGAAATGAGTTATTAAGTCAGGACTGAGGTCAGATTTAAAGGGAAAGTTCACTCAAAAATAGACATTAACTCAGTATTTATTCAGCGTTTAGTGTTTTATAATGCTGAACTCAAAAAAAGATATTTTGAAGAATGTTTAAAAAAATGCAGCAATAGATTCCTATTGTATTTTTAATTACCTACTGGTGTCAGTGGGCATCAGTTCCCAACATTCTGCAAAATATCTTCTTTTGTGTGAAAAATTGTCATACACTAATCTAAATGATGAGATGATCAAAAAATGACACAGATCTAAATTATGAGATAATCAAAACAACAACACAATCTAAATTGAGATTAAGAAAAATCTAAGCAATGACAATTTAAATTCTGATAAAAAAAATCTGAACTAAGACACAATCTTAATTATGAGATAATAAATCAAAACAATGAAACAATCTAATTTGAGATAAATATCAAAACTAACACAATCTTAATTATGAGATAACAATCAAAACAATGACAATTTAAATTGAGATATACCAAAACAATGACACAATCTTAATTATGAGATAACAATTAAAACAATGACACAATCTAAATTGAAATAAATATCAAAACAATGACACAATTTAGATTATGAGTTAAAAATCTAAACTGACATGACCTAAATTATGAGATAAAAATTTGAACGACACAATCTTAATTATGTGATAAAAATCAAAACAATGACACAATCTAAATTATGAGATAAAAAATCTAAAAAAAAAAAGACTTAATCTGAATTGAGATAAAAAAAAAACTAAATCCACAATCTAAATTATAAGATAAAAATTTAAACAACGACACATTCTAAATTATGAGATAAAAAAAAAAAAATGAAACAATATGAATTGAGATTAAAAAAATCTAAACTATGACATATCTAAGCTATGAAATAAAAACTATGATAAAATTATGAAATTATCAAGGTCAATATTATTCTGTTCAATAGCATAAAGAAACATTTAGATATGAATGACGACAGGTTTTTTTTTTAGGTGAACTGTCTCTAAGATTACCTACTGTAGAGTCGTTCAACTGAGTCAAAAGGGTTTTTATCCTTCACTGCTGTGCTCTTTCTGTCTTCCCTTTGTCTCTCTGACCTCCTGTACTGTACTTTACTGTACTTTACCCTACTGATGGTCATCATGAAGCAAGAATCAGAGCCACTTATTCAGTCTATTGCAGAAGTCCTGCTGCGTGTGTTTTATCAATGAGCTCTACGACTGATTAGCAGATTATGAATATTCAGTACACTTCATTAATAAATCATTAGATGAACATTAAGTTGTGTGCATTGGTATGTGAATTATTAAGCCATTAGTTTGCTTTCAGTATAGTGAAACACTTGAGTTTGACACTCATAAATACTGTATATCCGCTTTTCGTGAATGAGATCTTCCAGTGTGTTGTACTGTTGAGTTCAGTGGAGATTAATTAGCTGACAAACACTAATGATTCGACATACTGCAAGATGAGAAATACAAAACAAAACCCCCAAACACTAAACATTTCTGCTAAAATATTATTATTTATTTATTTCATTACAAGGCAATGCAGTGCAAAATTCAGGTAAAATGCATTAAATAAAGAAATATTTAAATAAATGTGTAATGCATGTAAAATAATGTTATGCTAATGCAAAAAAATTATATATATTACAGCCATTCTTGTCATGTAAAGTGATGAATTTTGTTAAAATATATATATTTAAATTAAATATTATTTTATGGTGCAGAAACACAAGCAGAACAGGTTTATGTAATTATTTACACTGTTTAAATTGGCAACTAATTG